TTCCTTGGCCCGGCCCGTGCCTCTCCAGATCGCGGCCGAGAGCACCAGGCAATGATTTTTCCAACCGAGAGGTCTCAGAGATCCTGCCATCGAGCCCTGCGTTCGCCAGCACCGAAGGGGCGAACTGCTCAAGCAGCACAACCGCGACGCTGTACCCGTAGGCGGTGCCTGTGCCGAGGGCGATGAGGGTATGCATGTTGGCCGCGCCGTGTCGCAGCGCATTGAATCCAGAGCGGTAGAACTGGGCCCCCGCCCAGAAGAGTACAGGCGTTGCCACCGCCCAAAGCAGGAAAGGGTAGAAGGCCAGTTCCATCCAGCCCTCGACCCACGGGAAGCCCCTGAAGCCTCCCAGGAAGAGCAGGATGGACCCGAAGGCAGCGATGGCGAGGCGGTTGCTGAATTCCCGCACCTCGTGGACTTTTGAAAGCCTTTCCAGTTCACGCTGCCGGTCGCCGGCGCTTTCCACGCGGTAGCCCGCCCCCTCGACGGCGCGCCGCAGGTCTTCCAGGCCCGTAAGGCCGGGCGCGTATTCCACGGTAGCCCGCTCCACACCCAGGCTGACGGTGGCCTTCGCGACTCCCGGAACGCCGCCAAGTGCCCGCTCAACGTGGTAGACGCAGGCGGCGCAGGTCATCCCCCCGATGTTCAGGGACGCCGAGACTGTTTCAGGTTCCCTAATCCCAGTAGCCATAGTCGCCAATTGGCGGGATGCTGCTCAGGCACCCCAGCCGGCTAGACGCCCTCAACAAAATAGAGATCGCCGGTTGAGGCCTTGAGCCGCATTTCCTTGAGGGGGGCATACTCGGTTGAGTTGTACCACGCCTTCGCCCTCTCGACGCTTTCGAACTGCAAGACCACGATGCGCACCGGATCGTACTCGCCTTCCATCTTCTCGGGGGTGCCCCCGCGCACGAGGTATGTGCCGCCGTACTGGGCGACGGTGTCGGGGACGCGTTTACCGTATTCGGCGAAAGCTTCCGGGTTGGTGATGCTGATGTTGCCGATCATGTATCCAGCCATGGGGCAATTTCCTCCAGAGCGGCGTGTTGCTGAGTCGAGGACATCAGCGTATCACCGCCGGGCGCGGCAATCAAACGGCCGTTCATCACGCGTGATGGGGGTATCGCATTTGGCTTGCAGAGCGCCGTCATTCCCGCGAAAGCGAGAATCCCCCAGGACTTCAATGCTTCCGACCGCCCTTGGCCGCCAGGGCGGATTGTGCATCATCCAGCAACCGTCGGGCCTAATTTTCGGCCACTGGATTCCCGCTTTCGCGGGAATGACGGATTGTGGGCCGCAGCAAGCTTTGAGGTAGTTTCTAAGAGGGCGTGTGACAAATTCTCCCCGTCCCCGCCGGAGTCGACTGGAATGGCATGGAATGTCTCTGCGACAAGGCGGGGACGCCCCCGCCCTACCCCTCCCCCGGAGGGAGAGGGGACTTGTCACACACCCTCTAGGCAAAGGGGAGCGGTGAAACCCCGCTCCCCTCGTTTGGGAGTAACGCCGTCAGCTACACGAACCGCGGTTGAACGTCGCGATGGAGGCCGAAGGCGTGCTTGCCGATCAGCTCCAGCGCGTCGAAGCCGCTGATGGGGTGCATGGTTCCGGCGCGCACGTCGCGGTAGTAGCGTTCCAGCGGCAGACGCCGGGCCAGCGCCGCGCCGCCCACCATGTCGACTGCCTTGTTCACCACGTCCTGCGCCGCCTTCATGCAGAAGTACTGCATCGACACCGCGTCGACAATGGTAGCGTCGTCACGGTTCTTCACGTCGACCAGCTTCTCGGCAACCTGCCGCTGGTAGGCCCAGCCGGCGTTGAGGGCGATGTCCATTTCGGCGGCCAGGAACTGGTGGCCCGGGTAGTAGCTATCGGGATGCTTGAAGGGTATTCGGGTGCGGTCCCTGGTCTGGTTGATTGCGAAGTCGCGGGCCGCCTTGGCGATGCCCAGGTCAGACCTCTGTCGCGCGAAGCGTGCCGCCGTGCAGGTCCAGAGGCCGCGGGCGTAGATGTCCCATTCCCAGAGGTTATGCTTGAAGCAGTGGTCCTCTTCGACGAAACACGTTCTCCAGCCGCCAGCTATGGCTCTGGCTGGCCCTCATTCCCATCGTATCCCAGTCGTTGAGGCAGACCAGGCCTTCATGGTCGATAGGGAGGATGAAAATCAGGCCGACGTCCCCTTCCTCCGGGTCTTCGTAGATAGCGCTGCTGGCGAAGAGGTCGCCTGCTGGGCTGTTGGTGCCAAAGCCCTTGCGTCCGTTTATGCGAAAACCGTGTGCCCTCTCTGTTTCCCCAACTGCCTGGACGGGGTGCGCCCAGCGCGGTGATGCCTGGAAGGCTATCCACCTGCGTCATGTAATCGCGCCGAACACAATCACCTTCTCGTCGGCGATGCGAGTCAGGAGCTCGTCGACTTCAAAGCCGTCGGCCTTGAGGTCGGTCATCACGAAGGGCAGGCCGAAGTGCATATTTACGGCCAGGGCAGTTGCCCCACAGCCTTGGGCCAGCCGGTTCTGCGCGATGCAGATGTCCAACAGGTCGGCCCCTCCGCCGTTGCAGTCGGCCGGAATCGGCATGGCGGTGTAGCCCGACTCCTTCATCTCCGCGTAGTTCTCGAATGGAAACTCGCCTTTTAAGTCATACTCGGCAGCCCGTTCGGCGAACACATCGGCGTGCTTGGCTGCCAGATCGTACCATTTGCGCTGCGAGGGGGTTAGTTCCTGCACCATAAGCTCCTCCCAAATACGGACCGTGGGCTTAATTCGGCGGCGTTAGACCAGATGCCGCATTCTAGCGCAATGTGCAGAGGCATACAACGAAACTGGAGCGGGGCCCAGGGCAATCGCGTCTTGAATTCAGCAACTCAGCAGGTTGGGTCGGATGAGCCGACATTGCCGGTTTGCAGGGGCTGATTTTTTCGTTTCCCCGGTCATTTCTGGACATTTCGGGCTGGCCGCTGGTTCAAGAGACCCACAGGGATGTCAGTCGGGTTCTGTTTGCCATCCGTTATAGACATAGAACTAATGTTAGAGAATGGGCGCCAGCTTGGCAAGGAGCAAATGACAGCAAAATGAGATTCTAGCCTTCAAGACCAGATTGCCCTGGAGCGGGGCCCGGGATCCGGGCGGCAGGACAGCTTCCTTACTCGAGCCAGCGGTCGCAGGAGCTGGTCAGTTCCACGACTCTCCCTCCCGGGCTCCTGCTGATGCAGCCCGACTGCTCCAGGGCATCAGTAATGGCTCTCCCAAGGGCGCCACCCAGGTGCCAGCGGCGTTCCGTCCAGTCGAGGCAACAATAGGCTATCGGCTTGTCCGGTTTAGCCTGGGGAAGGGATACCCCCAAGTCCAATAGGGCTGCAGCGCCTTCTCCGGTCGGGCGAAGGTAGGTGCGGCGGGTGCCGGAGGCTGGCGACGTTTCTTCCAGCCAACCCCGGGAGAGGATCTGGTCCATCAGCGATACGCCGGCAACTCCGGCAAGATGGCCGTATCAAGTGCGGGCCCGGCGGAGCGGAGTATCCTTTCGCACCTCGCGGGCAGCCTGTAGGCTGAGGGGAGAGAGGGGATGATTCGAAAGCGCAGGGACCTCAATTGCCTGATTCGGCCCGTGGGTGTTTCGGCGTGTGTTCGGCACGGCTCATCCGCCACCGATCGCCGGGAGGAAGTGGACTTCGCTGGATTCCTGGACTCGCTCCAGCAGTCCGAGGAGCCTGGTCTCACCATCGACGACGACAGCAAGACCTGGGAGAAGGTCGTCCTCCTCCGTGTCCATCAGCAGGTCGCGGGAGCCGGGGTACTCGCGCTCCAGGCTGTTGATCACTTGGCGCACCGTGGCCCCCGTGACGACCACCTGCTGTTTGCCTCCGCAATGGGCCTGCATTCGCGGCGGGAGCCATACTTCCGGCATTGCCCTCATCCTGACCTTCGCCGTTGGATGGCAAAGGTATTCCTTCGCAAAGTTAGGAAACTAAAGTGGGGGTCTGGAAATTTCCAGACCCCCAACTCATCGTGGCTATTCAGGCTAGCTGCCGTTCTGGCCCCAGAGACCCTCCAGAACCTTGTCCGGCGACATGGGCAGCGAGTTCAGCCGCACGCCTATTGCGTCGTAGATGGCGTTGGAGACGGCGGCCAGCGGCGGCACCAGCGGTACCTCGCCAACCCCGCGCAGGCCGTAGGGATGGGCCGGGTTGGCGATCTCGACGATAACGGTGTCGATCATGGGCAGGTCGAGGCTGATGGGCATCCGGTAGTCGAGGAAGCTGCTGTTGAGCATCCCGCCCTGGTCGTCGAAGCGGTATTCCTCGTTGAGCGCCCAGCCGATGCCCTGCACGACGCCCCCCTGGATCTGGCCTTCGACGTAGCTGGGATGAATGGCCTTGCCGGCATCCTGGACGGCGGTATAGCGCAGCACGTCCACCTTACCGGTTTCGGTGTCCACTTCCACGTCAACGAGGTGGACGGCGATGGAGGGCCCGGCCCCGGGCGGGTTGACCCCGGCCCGGCCCACGATGGGGCCGCCGGTGCCGACGGCGCGGGCCGCAATCTGCTTGAAGGTCAGCCGCAGTTCGGAGTCGGAGGTGTGCTGCAACACACCGTCTGAGTACTCGACGTTCTCGACCGGAACGTCCCAGATGCGGGCGGCGCGCTCGCGCATCTGCCGCTTCACGTCCTGGCCGGCTTCGTAGGCAGCCCAGCCGGACTTGAAGGTGGCACTGCTGCCGCCGGTGTTGGAGGTGAAGCCGATGCTGTCGGTATCGCCGACCTGGGGCTTGATGTCCTCCATGGCAATGCCCAGAACCTCGGCAATGTGCTGCGAGACGGCGGCCCGGCTGCCGCCGATGTCGGGGGAGCCCTCGGTCAGGCTGACGGAGCCGTCGGAGTTGACCACGGCAAGGGCGCTGGCGGGGCCGGTGTTGTTGCCCCAGAAGCCGCTGGCCACTCCTCGCCCGCACTTGATGTGGCCGTTGGAGCCATCCGTCCTGTCTTCGATCGGCGAGCTGTAATGCGGGTGGTCCTTCAGGGCCTGCAGAGTCTCGATATATCCGACCTTCGGTGTCATCGGGCCCGTTACGCGGCGGACGCCTTCCTTGGAACTGTTGAGCAGGCGCAATTCCAGCGGGTCCATGCCCAGCTTTTCCGCGAGCTCGTCCAAGGCGGTCTCCATGCAGAAGGCCGAGGCCGGAGCGCCGGGAGCGCGATAGGCGGCGGACTTGGGCCGGTTGATCACCACGTCGTAGGCGACCAGGTGGGCGTTGGGGACATCGTACTGGCCCATCATGCACTGGGCGCCCGGAGAGACGGGCGACCCTGGGAAGGCGCCGGCTTCGTAGATGAGCGTGGACTCAGCGGCGACGAGCTTGCCTTCGTTGGTGGCGCCCAGCTTGACCTTGATCTTGGTGCCGGACGTGGGGCCGGTAGCCTCGAAGACTTCCTTGCGCGACATCTGCACCTTGACGGGGTGGCCGCTCTTGCGGGAAAGCAGGGCCGCCACCGGCTCGACGTACAGCACCGTCTTGGCCCCGAAGCCGCCGCCGATCTCCAGCGGGATGGCCTTCACGTCGGCCACCGGGATGCCCAGGAACCTGGCGGTGTGGTCGCGGACAGTGAACTGGCCCTGGCTGCTGGACCAGATGGTCAGCTTGCCGTCGGCGCCCCACTGGGCGGTGCCGGCGTGAGGTTCAATGTAGCCCTGATGCACGGGGACCGTTTCGGTTTCCTTCTCGATGATGATGTCGGCCTGCTTGAAGCCTTCCTCCACGTCACCGAGGCGGAACTCGAACTGGTTGGCGATGTTACTGCCGGCCCCATCATCACCCTCGTCCAGCAGTCCGCCGGGGCGCAGCGCCGGGTTTGACAGACTGGCGAGCCTCTCGTGGACAGCGGGGGCGTCCGGCTTCATGGCGTCGTCTGCGCTAAGGACGGGCGACAGTACTTCGTAGTCGACCTTGATCAGCTCCGAGGCCTTCTCGGCTACATGGGGACTGGCGGCGGCGACTGCCGCGATTGCGTGCCCCTTGTAGAGCGCCTTGCCGCGGGCGAGCACGTTCATGCTCAGGAACCCAAGGTTCTGGATGGCGCCCTCTGCGAGGTCGGCGAGTCGTCCGGAGGTTTGGGGCCAGTCGGCGGAAGTTACGACGGCGTGGACGCCGGGGTATGCCTCGGCCTCGCTGGTGTCTATGGACTTGATGACGGCGTGGGAGTGTGGGCTGCGCAGTATCTTGCCGTAGAGCAGACCAGGCAAGTTCTGATCGGCGCCGTACCGCGCCCGTCCGGTTACCTTTTCAGCGCCGTCCGGGCGAATAGGCCGTTTGCCGACCACGTTGAATTCTTCATTGGAAAGTACGATATTCGGCTTGTAATCCAGCATCTGCGTCTCCTGACAGTTACCGGTGTAAGGGGTTCAGGGCTACGACCATATAGTATCACAACACCTGCATCCTGAAACTCGCGGGCCGCCTGGCCGAGGCCCAGTGCGCCGGGTGGAGACCGCCCGGTCGTGGCCATTTGGAGGCTCTGCACTGAGGCCGAGTTCGGTAGATCGCTGCGGAAATTGATTGGGCGATCCTGGCAGCGGCGACCGGAGGACGACCGGGGTTGACAGGGGTTTCAATTCGGCCAACTGGCGCTTTGAGATTCCGAAGAGGATGCTGGCCCGGGGTCACGCGTGATCCTTTCCCAATGACCGGCGCTGTTCATTGGGCTGGGCAGGGCGGGGAAGCATCAACCCCTCGGGATAAGACCGAAAACGCTCAACCGCAGAAATTCATGGAACTCCCGAGAGGTCTGGAAATTACCACGACGCAGGGTGCAACCTGCGTCGCGATTCACGGGGTCATGGGGAGCCCAGCATCCAGCCGGCGGTATCTCAGAAGGAGCGTCGTCCGGCCCTGCCACGCCGCTACTTCCTGAGCACGTGGCGTTGGCGGCACCGCTGGCCGGGAAGACCGGCCGGGGTTGGCCCGGACGACCGGGCCGGGGGTTGGCCGGACGACCGGGCCGGGGTACTACGGTTTCGCCATTCTGTAGCCGATGCCATGCTCCGTGAATATATACGTGGGTTGCCGGGCGTTGTCTCGCAGTTTCTGGCGCAGGGACTTTATGTAGGAGCGGAGCAACTGGGACTCCCCGGTATACTCAGGGCCCCAGACGCGCTGTAGCAATTCGTCCTGTGTCAGTATGCGTCCGGCGCTGGAAGAGAGTTCGAAGATGAGCTTGTATTCAGTTGCGGTGAGCTGTATCTGCTGGCCGGATACCGACACGGTCCGGCCCTCGTAGTTTATGGTCAGGTCTCTGGCAACGTAACCCTGGGGCGCCTCTGCCTGCCTGTAGGTTGTCCTGCTTCGCAAAGACGCATTGACTCTGGCAACCAGTTCTGTTGGAGAAAATGTGGCTGTTAAATATCCGTCGGCCCCCACGTTAAAGGCGCGCACAACGGTCTCCTCGTCCCCGCCCTCGCAGAGACAGAGGACGGGAATACCAAAGTCGGCGGAAATGCGCTGCAGTGACTCGAAAGATTCCCTATTCGGAGATGTCATGTCGAGGAAGACCAGATGAGGTTTTTCCTCAGCAATCAGACGGTCTACGTCGGTGAGGTCAAAGTGCGTTAAACGACAAATGAAAAACTCAAAACAGATTTGTGGATCGCGGGAGAGGGGTGACAGTAGCGTATGTTTAAGGAAAACAGAAAGGAGGAGAAGAGGGGCGCCAGGAGTCGCATAGTGATCCGACAGTCTACCGAGCAGTGCAACATGGTTCAGCTTATAGCGATCGGAGGGTATACGATGGAGTTGCAATAGTAAGAGTCTGGAGCAGCTCCGGAGAATTCGAACGTGCCGACCGGAAGCTGGTTTTCGGGGGCGGCTTCTGCCTCGACAGCCATGGGAATGGTGAAAGTGAAGGTGATCCCCCGTCCGTGGTTCCCTCGCTCCGCCCTGAGGCGGCCTCCATGTACCTCTACGATGCCCTTGCAAATCGCAAGAGCAAGGCCGTCTCCTCCAATTCCGGCAGAGGCGGTATCCTGAGGATGGTTCTTGGAGAGCTTCTGGAAAAGCTGGTGGGGCTCCGTGGAAATCAAGCGACCGCCATCTGTTGAAACGGAAATCGCCACGTAGACATCATCTCTGGAAGCGGTAACCGTGATGGCTGAATCCTCGGGAGAATGCTTGGAGGCGGTGCTCAGGAGGTTCTTCAAGACCTGGGAAACCCGTTGCCTGTCGGCGCTTATCTTCGGGATGTCAGGAGAGATGTCCCAGGTGAATGTGCTCAGGTTGCCGCGCCAGAATTCCTTGCTGGCGTCATCAATTACCTCCGCCACATTCACCGCTTCCAAGGCGACGGGCAGAGTGCCGGCCTCGATGTGAGTTAACTCGATGAGACTGTTGATCTGGCCTCGCATCAGGTCGGCCTGCTGGTCGATGATGCGCAGAAGCTGAAGCGGTTCGGTCTGATTTATGGGATCGGCGATCGAAAGCAAGGCCGACGTTGATCCCTTAATTGTGCTGAGCGGCGTCCGAAGCTCATGGCTGACCAGCCCGAGGAACTCAGAGCGAAGTCGCTCCAGTTCTTCAAGTGGCGCCAGATCCTGAAAAGCAACAACGACGGATGCGATACTGCCGTCATCCGAGGTAATAGGTGCCGCATTCACGAGGGTTGAGATGGACTTGCCGTCCGCCCGGTAAACAATGATCTCTTCGGCGCGTACAGTTTCGCCACTCTGGAGAACCCGCGCCATGGGGTCGCCCCCAAGTGGGATTTCGGTCCCGTCGGCACGGCAAAGAGTAACCAAGGTCGCGAACTGCTCCAAGCTAACTCGCTGGAAGGCAGTGTCTGGAGCACCCAGGTCTCCAATAATCCTGATGGCTTCGGCATTTATGGCGGTGACATCGGCAGTCAGAGCATCTATCACCATCACACCGACAGGGGAAATGTTGATTATGGCCTCCAGGTCATTTCTCGCTTGGCTTTCCTGTTCGTAGCGGCGGGTGTTGTAGATCGCGGCTGCCGCCTGGGAACTGAACAAGGTTATGATCTCTTCATCCTCGGCGGTAAAGTCCTCCCCACCTTCCTTTTCAGTCAAAAAGATATTCCCCACATGGACTTTGCGGTGGTATATGGGCATCCCGAGGAGGGTCTTCATCGGAGGATGATTTTCGGGGAAACCAACAGATCTCGGATGAGAGGCGATGTCCCGCAGCCTCAATGGCCACCTGAGTTCGCTCATGTAACCGAGAAGGCCGTAGCCAGCAGGGGGCTGGGGGATCCTGGCTGACTGCTCGTAAGTCATGCCAGAAGTGAATGAGTCTCTGACCTCGCCCGCCTCGGAGTATGTAAGCAGAACCCCATACTGGGCTCCAGTTAGCGCGCGAGCACTGTCGATGACCTCCTGGAGCACCGCACTGGTATCCAAGCTTTCACTTATGCGAAGGCTGGCTTCGCTCAGCTTCGAGAGGCGGTCCTTCAGAGATTTGTTTTCTCGCTTGAGCCTGTCGGTTTCAGACAACTCTTCTACTGGCGGCGTTAAGAGCATGGCAATCTCTCAATTGTACTTGTTACCCCAGATGGCTAGAGCAGGAGGCAGTCGTGGACGCAACCATGGTCCACCAAGCCAAACCAGCACCGTGGAACGCTCACGGAGGGAACGCTCACGGAGAGCGAAGATGGGCAGGACTACACCCGGCGTCTAAGAAGTTCCAGCCGGTACCAACGGGTGGCAATGCTACCATGTGACGATTCGGTTCACAATATTGTTGCACAAGTGTTTCAGTACTGTTACAAAGGTATCCCAAAACTTATGGCGGATTTCGTAAAATCCAATCCAGGCTGATGGTAGCTTACTGTAATTGAATGATACCTCCAAGCAACAGAGGGCTCCACAAGTTCTACGCAGAAAGCCAGTGTATTTCACAATATATTCACGATTGAGGCTTGGGCCTGTAGACTCGCGTCCTAGAATTAAAGAATTCGTACAAGTCCTGCCGGATACCGTCAGCAGGCCAGAAATTGTGAACAATTTGTGAGAATCTGGTTTTGACCGGATCATTCGACGGTTTTGGGAGATCATCAGGGGATTTCGCACCTTGTTCAGAGAGTCTGTCAGCCCTCTTGTATGGCAAGTTGGCCCAGCTGGATTGAAAGGCATTCGGTGACAATATGAATGGTGGCGCCGAAGATTTTTACGTTTTCAATTCGAATGTATTGTCATACCAACGAACCACGAGCGGGCGGAGAGCCGTTTCGGAAGGACAGCAGGTCTGACTGGTTGCATGGATATCGCTATCGCTCAGAGTTCAGAGTGAGGAAGGCTACGCAACTGCTCGCTTCTTGCCCCTTCTGTTAGAGCGGCAGTATTATGGTCAGGAAGGTCGACTAGTGATTCTGGATTTCGGTCCATACTTGGGAGGCGAAATGAGTACTTACACCAGGGGCAGAGAGCTGAAGGTGGTTCACGACGTGGCTTCGCCAGACACCACCGCCCAGACTCCAGGCATGATCCGCAAGCCCGGCATTGACAGCAACACCGCAGGGGCAGAGAAGATCTGGCTTGGTCACGTGGAATGCGTGCCGAACACCATGGGCCCGCCGCACAATCACGGTGAGGCCGAGACTGCGGCGTATGTGCTGAAAGGGCATATCCGGGTCTACTACGGGGAAGGCTTCAAGGAGTACATGGAAGCCGGACCAGGGGACTTCATATTTGTTCCGGCGCACTTCGACCACATCGAAGGCAACCCTTACGATGAACCGGCCGAGGCGGTGCTGTCGCGAGGTCCGGACAATATCGTGATCAACCTGGACGAGTAACCACCGGGCCCAATCGGTTCTCCACTTCGAGAGGTAGCAACGGGGCGCATGTAAGTGCGCCCCGTTCAGTTTCAGGCAACCTGCACTCAGGTCAGATTCCCAAAGCATGGGGCGCGGGGCCGCGCTATACTAGGCGTTTCAATCCCAGGCTTACTAAGGAAGGACTCCGTCCCTTTGCTAACTTCAGGCGCCAAACGAATACTGCAGATACCTCAGCGGGTGTTCTATGGCTGGTGGGTAGTTGCGATATCAGCCGCGGCTGATGCGTTGAAACACGGCACATTTAACCGCGGTTTCACCTTCTACGTTACCCCCCTCAGCAAGGAGTTGGGTGTAGGTGTGGCGGTCGTGTCCCTCGCCGAGATGCTGGGTCGGCTGGAGGGGGGGCTGCAGGGCCCGCTGATGGGGTGGCTCAACGACAAGTTCGGGCCACGGTTCATCATGGTACTGGGCGGCGGGACGTCTGGGTTGGGGTTCATACTGCTCGGCCTTACCAGCAACTACGTCTATTTCCTCCTGGTCTTTGTCGGGCTGCTTTCCCTGGGCTTTCGCGCCGGGTATAACAACGCCCTCATGCCGGCCATAAACCAGTGGTTCCGCAGACACAGAGCGCTGGCGATGGCTGTTGCCGGGATGGGGAGCCCTATCGGAGGCATAATGATTGCCCCGATGATGGGGCTGCTGGTGTACGAGATCGGATGGCGCAACGCGGCCTTCTTATCCGGCGCAGGGATACTGGTGATTGTTCTGCCCCTGGCGCTGTTCGTACAGCGTTCGCCGGAAGAGAAGGGGCTGTTGCCGGACGGGGCTAAACCAGCAACTGAGCCGCCCGGCCTGGCACAGGTGCCACGAACTGAGGTCCCAGTCTTCGAGTACCGCCCGCCGCCGGGCGATCCCGACTTCACGGCCAAGGAGGCGATGAAGACTCCCGCCTTCTGGTTGCTGGTGTGGGCAGTGGGGTTACGGAACACCGTGCATTCGGGAATGCAGTTCCTTCTGGCGCCGATCATCGTCTGGTTCCTGATGGGGTCGGGGCGTCCGGAGGACGACAGCGTGCGGCTGTCGGCGCTACTGGTGGGGCTGCTGTCGCTGAGCTCTCTGATCATGAACCCCATTGTCGGCTGGCTGGGCGACAACATGTCGAAGCAGAGGCTGAGCGCGGTGGCGATGCTGGGCGGGACGCTTTCGCTGGTGGTGGTGCTGAACCAGAGCGGGACGCTATGGCAGGCATGCCTGTTTGTGGTGCTGATTGCCGTGTCGGAGACGGCCAACCCCCTGGCCTGGGCCATCATGGGCGACTTCTTCGGCCGCCGAAGCTACGCCACACTTAGGGGCTGGCAGCACCTCCCGGACCAGATGATGTCCATGAGCACCCCGGTGTGGATGGGGCTCATCTATGACAGCACAGGCAGCTACTACTGGGCCCTGATGCCGCTGGCCGTGATCTATGGGGATGGCGGCGGTCAGCTACTGGCTTATTCCGCGACCCAAGCCTCCCGTGAGGGTATCGGCCGCCCAGGGGGCCTAGTCTGCAAGGGCTTTCGTACCGAATTGCCAGGCCATAGTTATCCGGCTACAGCCTTGGCCAAACCTTCGACGGCTCCCTCCAGCACCCAGTCTTCAACGCAGTACGAAATGCGGAAATAGCCGGGTGTTCCGAAGCCACGGCCCGGCACAACCAGCACGTTCCACTGCAGAAGGTCCCGGGCAAAGACCACGTCGTCCTCCGTGGGCGCCTTGGGATAGAGGTAGAAAGCTCCCTCCGGCTTCACTGTGTCGTAGCCCATTTTCCTCAGGGCGGTGTACATAAAGTCGCGCTTCTTCTGGTAGTAGTCCGGGTCGATGCTCACCCCCTGCAGGCCGCGCACGACGTGTTGCATCAGCGCGGGGGCGTTTACAAAGCCCAGGGTACGATTGCAGAAGCTGAACCCGCCGGCCAGCTCTTCCTTATCCTGGTGGTTGGGGTTGATTGCGACGAAGCCGATTCGCTCGCCAGGGAGGGCGAGGTCCTTGGCGTGGGAAGTTACAATTACGGAGTTGTCGTAGGCAGGCAGAAGCTGTGGGAAGGTCATGCCGTCGAAGATGATGCGCTTATAGGGCTCGTCGCTTATCAGGAAAATCTCTGTACCGTGTTCCGACTGCTTTTGGTCCAGCAGTTGTGCAAGGCCCGAGATTTCTTCCGCCGAATAGACCACGCCGGAAGGGTTGTTGGGCGAGTTGACGATGATGGCGCGGGTGCGGGGAGTGATCGCCTGTTCGATGGCGGGTATGTCGAGGCGGAACTGATCTGTGGTGTTGACGACCACGGCAACGCCGTCGTGATTGTCTATGTAGTAGAGATACTCGAAGAAGTAGGGGGCGAGGATGATTACCTCGTCGCCAGGGTTAAGAATGGTCTTGAGCACTACATTGGCGGCAGCTGCGGCGCCGCAGGTCATGATGATCTCGTTCCCGGTGAAGGGGAGGCCTGTCTCTTCTGCCAGGGTATCGGCGACCGCCTGGCGCGTCTCCATGTAACCGGGGTTGGGCATGTAGCGGTGCATCCCGGCCATTGGCTGTTCGGCGAGACGCCGCAGTTCGTTTTTGAACTCGGCCGGGGGTTCGATAACGGGGTTGCCAAGGGACAGGTCGAAGACGTTTTCGGCGCCGATCTGGGGCCTTGAGGGTGAGGCCCTCTTCAAAGACCCGGCGAATCCAACCCCCCTCTGCCATGAACTGCCGAATCTTCTGCGACACCGCCATAGGAAAGCCTCCGCTTGTACGAGTATGGCGGCGAGTGTAGCAATGGCTCGACAGGAGTGTCAAAAGACATTGCCAGCAAAGTTGAGCCGCTTCCTTGGAGTTCGGGCGGAGTTCGGGCGGAGTTCGGGCGCCTCAGGTCTTCAAATGTCGATGTCGATTCCTTTCGGGGCCTGGCACGGGCTGGGTACTTTCGCAGGAATAAGAGTTGCCGCCGGGCTGACGGATCAGGGGGCGTTGAGGGAACCGTCCGGTGCCTGTAACTCCTGAAAGGGGACGCCCCCGTCAAGCGAGAGGACTACTCTTCAGCCAAGACGAACTCGCTGGGCGATACTTCCGACATTCGCATTCCCATCGCGCGGCCGAAGCGGTAAACGAGGCTATATCTGACCGCCTCCTGGTCCACTTTTTCGCCCAGCAGCCTGGACATTGAGGTCACGGGGCGGTCCGCAATGCCGCAGGAAACGATGTGGCGGTACCAGGAAAGGTCGGTGTTGATGTTTACAGAGAAACCGTGGAAGGATACGCCGCGGCTGATCTTGACGCCGATGGCCGCAACCTTTCCGGCGGTGGTCCAGACACCGGTCAGTCCCTGCTCCGTGTGGGCGGGTATTCCGAAGTCTGCCAGTGTGTCCACGATGGTCTGTTCCAGTGTGCGGACGTATTTGAGCGGGCCACCGCTCCAGTCCCGAAGGTTGATGATGGGGTAGCCGACCAGCTGTCCGGGTCCGTGGTAGGTCACCTGTCCGCCACGGTCCGTATCGTGGACCGGGACGCCCGAGGCGGCAAGTTCATCTTCCGAGCTCAGCAGGTGTTCGGCTTGACTCAGGCGGCCCCGTGTATAGACGTGGGGGTGCTCCAGGATGAGCAGGGTATTGGGCGACTCACCATCGTGGACGAGGCCGACCAACGAGTCCTGAAGGGAGCGGGCAGAGAGGTACTCCACAGTCCCCAGCCAGGAAAACAGGCACAGAGATGGACCCTGCATAAGCTGAGGCCAGGGGCTAGTAGATGGAAGAGTCGGGGCCGAAGGACTCCAGCCGCGCCTTGACCGCCTCCAAGAATCCGCTGGCCTCGGCGCCGTCGTTGATGCGGTGATCGAAGGCAAGGCAGATGTTCATCATGGATCGGATGGCGATGGCGTCGTCGCGGACTACCGGCCGTTTCTCGATGCTCTCGGTCGTCATAATGCCGGCCTGGGGGTAGTTGATTATCGGGCCGGAGACCAGCGAGCCGCCAAGGGCACCCGTGTTGTTGAGAGTGAAGGTGCCGCCCTGCACATCGTCCAGGGCGAGGCGATTGGAGCGGGCGCGTTCGGTAATATCGGCGACGGCGTGGGCGAGGCCGGATATGGTCAGCCGGTCCGCGTTGTGGATCACAGGCACGATCAGCCCGTTGGGAGCGGCGACCGCCAGCCCAAGGTTGATGCGACGTTTCAGAACGATGGAGTCGCCGCCCCAGGTGGCATTCATCGTGGGAACCTGTCGCAACGCCTCCACCACCGCGCGGATGACGAAGGGCATGAAGGTGAGGGACACGCCTTCCTGCTGGTCGAAGCCCGACCGGACGCTCTGGCGCAGGGCAACGAGGCCGGTCACATCGACTTCCTTAACGCTCCAGGCATGGGGAATTTCGGTTACGCTGCGAACCATCGCCTCCGCGATCATGCGGCGCACGGGGGTGAGGGGCACGCGCTCTTCGTCGGGACCGGCCACTGCGGGAGCTGGTGTCCTGTCCGAAGCCAGCGGCGTTGTCTGAGCAGCGGCCAGAGCAGATGCTGGCGCTGGATGTGGTTCGGCTAAGAACCTCAGGACGTCGTCGCGGGTGATGCGGCCACCCATGCCGGTGCCCTGGATGAGGCCCAACTCTACGGAGTGTTCGCGGGCAAGGCGGCGGACGGCAGGCGACAGGCGCAGGCTGCCGTCTCTCGGGGAGGGCGCGACCTGGGCGGGCGCGACGGGAGATGCAGCGGGAACTGGTGCGGGGATTGCTGGAGCTGCAGGCGGGGCGTGCTGGACCCCAACGCCCACCATCGGCTCGGCGACTTCGACTGCGGCACCGCCTGTGGGGCCGACGGGGGTGATGTTGCGCATCAGGTAGCCGGTGGTGTCCACAGACGCCGCCGGAGCGGTAGTGGCCGCAGGAGCGGAGGCATGGGTTGCAGCCGGAGTGTCCGTTGATGGAGTTTCGCCGGGGTCGCCGACTTCGGCGATGGGGGCGCCCATCGGCAGGGTCTCACCCTCGGCGGCGAGTACCCGGAGCAGCTCACCCTCCACGGGGGAGGGCACCTCCATGGTTACCTTGTCGGTAATGACCTCCACCAGCGGTTCGTAGCGACGTACGGAGTCTCCGGGTTGCTTTAGCCATTTGCCAATGGTGCCTTCGACTACCGACTCGCCAACGTGGGGAAGTTCAATGGTTATGGCCAATTGCGCACCACTTGCCTGAATGAAATTCCCTCTTCCAAAGAGAGTGGATATCGGCTGTACAAAATCAGTATGCCGCCAAGCGTCGCAGGGCAGCGGCGATTTTCGTTGGGTCGGGGATGTAGGCGTCCTCGAGGGTCTGGGCGAAGGGCATGGTCGGGACGTCGGGGCCGCAGACGCGCACAATCGGGCCGTCGAGATATTCGAAGGCCTCGTCGGCCACCAAGGCAGCGATTTCAGCGCCGATGCCGCCGGTGATGTTGTCCTCGTGGGCAATCAGCAGCTTGCCGGTCTTGCGCACCGAGGTGAGTATCGTGTCCTTGTCCAGCGGTGAGAGAGTACGGAGGTCCACAACCTCGGAGTCAATGCCCAGCTGCCGACCTAGTTGCGGCATCGAGGCAGAGTGGAGGGTCCGCCGTACTGCAATGGTCCACATTGCTGCCCTGGCTCTTGAATGTCGCTTTGCCGGGGGCAGGGTGTACTCACCTTCCGGGACCTCGCCGCGAACGAGGCGATAGGTCTTCTTGTGCTCCAGGAAGACCACCGGGTTGTTGTCGCGGATGGCGGCCTTGAGCAGCCCCTTGGCGTCATAAGGGGTACAGGGCGTGACGACCTTGAGGCCGGGAGTGTGGAAGAAGTGGGTCTCGACGTTCTGGGAGTGGAACAGGCCTCCACGGATGCCGCCGCCGTAGGGGATGCGAACCGTCATCGGCACCTGCACCGCACCGTTCGTACCGTAGCAGGTGCGTGCGGCCTCGCCGATGAGCTGATTAATGGACGGCCAGACAAAGTCGGAGAACTGGATCTCGGGCATGGGCCGCTGGCCGCGGAAGGCGGCTCCCAGGGCGATGCCCACGATGGAGGCCTCGGCGAGCGGGGTGTCGATGATCCGGTCCTCGCCGAACTCCTCGAGCAGTCCCTGGGTGGCGAGGAAGACGCCGCCGCGCGCGCCCACGTCCTCGCCCATGACGAACACGGAGGGATCGCGGTGCATCTCCTCACGAATTGCTTCCCTTACGGCTTCGATAACGCTTTTGACGGCCACGGAATCAGACTCCTGATGCCGGGTAATCGGTCGGCAAACTGGCTGAATTGGGCTGGACTGTCCCGATAGTTCGTCCACTGCAAATGCGCGGACGAGCAAAAGGGCGCTTCAGGTTCGTCAACCTGAGTAGACATGTGGTGCAGGGTAGAGACGTCCGGCGGGCTAGCGTTATCGGCGGCGTCGGTGGCAGCATCGACGGCGGCCAAGGCATTCTCGGCGGCTTCGTCGATCTGCTCCTGGGCCAGTATTCCCTGCTCCAGAAGCAGGTTGCCCAAGGTGACCACCGGGTCCCGCTGCTTTGCCTGATCCACTTCATCTGCCGGACGATAGCGCCGGTCGTCGTCGTCGGTGGTGTGCGACATGAAGCGCTCGACCCTCATCTCAAGCATCAAAACGGCCCTGGGTGGCGCCGTGTGATTGCCTCCTGGTGCCCGTCGCAGCGACGAAGTCCATTCCGTCGACGGTGAAACCGGGAAAACCATAGCCGGCGGCCCTGCTGGCCACCGTTCGATGCCATATGCCTGCTCTTGGCCACGATAGGCGTAAGGGTGTTCTCGCAGATTAAGAACTGGAGTAGGACAAACCAGCGAAGTTCATTGCCTCGTGGGTCTCTCCCTGACTGGAGGCTCCGTCGCCGAAGTAGACGAGGGCGACAGTGGACTCGCCCCGCATCCTGCAAGCCATGGCATAGCCCACCGACTGCGTGAGCCCGGCGGCAACGACGTTGGAGATCTGGATAATCTTGCGGGGAAGGTCGGCGCCTTGGAGGGGGAACTGGCGACCATTACTGTAGGGGTCGCCCACCTTGCCCATGAAGGAGCGCATCACCTGTTCGGCGGTCAGGCCGGCGGCGAACTTGAGGGCGAGGTCGCGGTAGTAGGGGAAGAGAAAGCAGTCGCCGTCTTTTTCGGCGGCCAGCAGGCTGCCCAACTGCGCGGCCTCGTGGCCCTGACTGGAGGCGGCGATAGGGACCTTGCCCTGGCGGTTGAGGGCCCAGATTCGCTCGTCGATGGTGCGGCAGAAAACCATTCTGCGGTAGAAGTCGGAGAGGTCGTCGGGTGTCAGGTCTCCGGGCAAGGAACCGGCGGCATCGGCGACTGCCGTGCCCCCGTTGTTGCGCCATGACCCTGCTTAATAGGCTTCGTCTGGCGGCCATTGTCCTATTACAGCCCTGTCACGTTCCCACAGGGCATGAAAACTGGGAAAATCGAGGGCGGAAATCCGACGCAATCAACGCAAACGGGGCCATGGTCCAGCCCCGTATACAACGAAGCCAATTATAGCTATCCAGACTGGGTGCCGCAAATCCGAACATCACGAACACGGGCAGAGTAGGGGATTTCCCATTTAGATAATCATTCAAAATGATATAGTCGTCAGCGGAGAGCCATCGCGGAATCCATCCCCGATGGGGCGGTTTTTCGTCGCCAGATACGGCCTTGATGCCGGTCTAATATAATAAAAAAAGGGGCGAAGAATTCTTGGAATTCCTGAGGATATGTCCGTTGACAGGGCACAGCGGAAATTGCTAATTTGCCTGCGTTG